TTCGGGGCCGTCTTGGGAGCCTCTTGGGCCGTTTTTGGGCCATCTTGGAGGCCTCTTGGGCGATCTTGGGGCAATCTTGTGTGCCTCTATGGCCGTCTTGGGCCGTTGGGGTGCCGTTTTGAAGCCCGAAATGCCCCAATTCAATTGTACAGCGTTTCCCAGGGGCCCTCACGTTTCCCACAAGGGTTCATGAGCTTATTTGACAGGCTGTGGGGGCTCTCCAACGGGCTCCAGAGTTTGTCCAAGGGGCTCTGGGGGCTCGCCCACAAGTTGTGTGGCCTCTCCCAGAGGTTTTGGACCACCGGGCGTGGTGATATTCTACCTAGAAGCAAGGCGTGGGCAGAGCGATTGCGAAGGCGATTTGCCTTCCCGATTGGAGATGTTGAAGTGTTTCGGAAGAGGTGTTGTCAATACCTCCTCGGGAGGGATATCTGGGTAAGGGAATATCGCCCCTGTGCGAGAACATACTACCCATGAGGGGGAGCTATCATGATGGATGCATGTTGCACATACCATCATAGAGCATTCGGGTAGCATGTTCTGTTTTGTTGTCATTGTTGTTGCTGTTGCTGTTAGTGTTTGTCTTGTTGTTGTTGCTGCTGCTATTGTTGTGGTTGCTGTTGTTGTTGTTGTTGTTATTGTTGTTGTTGTTGTTGTTGTTGTTGTTGTTGTTGTTGTGGTTGTGGTAGTTGTTGTTGTTGTTGTTGCTGCTGTTGTTGTTGTTGTTGTTGTTGTTGTTGTCTGTTGTTGCTGTCGTTGAACATTATTAATTCTAAAGAATAATTATTGTTGGGCCCCCTGGTGCACGCCCCCCCCCCCGCGCCTAGGCCGCAGCCACATTTTCATAATTTTCGGGGGGAAGTCCCAGGTAAAACGGTGTCATCCAGATCCGGTTGTTTTGTTGACGCCCGCTTTCCCTGTCAAAAAACATTATAAAATGACATGTCTGGTTCTAGCATAACCAAACTTCAAGAATCCTTTGCAAAAAATGACACGAAGTGCACACTCGCGCGCGCAAGATGAAATCCTTCCAAAACCTTAGTTTTCGTAGCGATTTTAACATAAAAACATGAAAAAACCCAATGGTTTTTCAAAAAAAAGTTTCAAAAATTCATCTTGCGCGCTCTTGCGGATTTCTGAGGAAACCCAATATTTTTTCAACATTTCTGTCAAACGGGCTCTTGCGAGCAACTTTTCACGTGCTTCGAACTTCTGCAACAACGGTTGCGCGCATGCCAGGGCCATCATCCCTGTCAAATAATACCATATTGGACACATTCGTTTTTTCTTCGCGCGCGCACGCCGTCGTCGTCGGCCGCGGGGCCCTGAATAGTAACCACGGTCGTCCGCATGCCACGAAGTGAAGTGTCCGAACGTCATAGGGCGGAAAGCTGGGTGTGGGTGGTGGCGAAGAGTCGTTTGGAAATTTGGTAGAGCTTGAACCGGCCCCCCCACAAAGTGGGGGTATTGCCCGCCTCCTATGAAAACCCTGGCACTGGTGAGAACGGAGTGTCCCCAGTCTTAAATGATTGTTGTTGTTGTTGTTGTTGTTGTTGTCGGTTTGTTGTTATGTTGTTGTTCTTGTTATGGTTGTGATTGTTGTTGTTGTGGCTGTTGTTATAGTTGTTGTTGCTGTTGTTGTTGTTGTTGTTGTTATTGCTCTTGTTATTGTTGTGGTTTAGTTGTGGTTGTGGTGGTGGTGGTGGTTGTTGTTGTTGCTGCTGCTGCTGTTGTTGTTGTTGTTGTTGTCTGTTGTTGCTGTTGTTGTTGTTGTTGTAGTTGTCGTTGTTGTTGTTGTCGTCGGTTTGTTGTTATGTTGTTGTTCTGGTTATGGTTGTGATTGTTGTTGTTGTGGCTGTTGTTATAGTTGTTGTTGCTGTTGTTGTTGTTAGTGCTCTTGTTATTGTTGTGGTTTAGCTGTGGTTGTGGTGGTGGTGGTGGTGGTGGTGGTTGTTGCTGCTGCTGCTGTTGTTGTTGTTGTTGTTGTTGTTGTTGTTGTTTTGGTTGTGGTTGTGGTTGTGGTTGTGGTTGTGGTTGTGGTTGTGGTTGTGGTTGTGGTTGTGGTTGTGGTTGCTGTTGTTGTTGTTGTTGTTGAACATTATTTATTCTAAAGAATAATTATTGTTGGGACCCCTGGTGCGCGCCCCCCCTGCGCCGCCTAGGCCGCAGCTACATTTTCATCATTTTCGTGAGGAAGCCTCAGAAAAGAGGGTGTGTACAGGATCCGGTTGTTTTGTTGTTATCCGCTTTCCCTTGCAAAAAACAATAGAAAATGACATTTCTTGTTCTAATATAATCAAATTTCAAGAATCCCTTGCAAAAAATAAGGTAAAGTGACATTCGCGCGCGCAAGACGAAATCCTTCCAAAACCTTAGTGTTCGCAGCGATTTTAACATAAAAACATCAAAAAACCAATGGTTTTTCAACAAACAATTGTCAAAATCTCATCCCGCGCGCTCTTGCGGATTCGTAGGAAACCCAACACTTTTTAAACATTTCTGTCAAACGGGCTTTGCGAGCAACTTTTTCGAACTTCTGCGACAACGGTTGCGCACCTGCCAGGGCCATCATCCCTGTCAAATAATACATGCGGGACACATTCGTTTTTTCTTCGCGCGCGCACGCCGAAATCTCCAAAAACCATTGGGCTTCTTAAGAATTTTAGCACCGCGCATCATAAAATCACACGAATCGCACCGTAGAGCCGCGGCGGGGAAAAGACGGTGGGTGGGCGTGCAAGCGCCGTTCCCGCCCCTCCTCTCTCTTCTCTCCTTTCCTCCTTGTCCTGCTCCTCCTCCTCCTCCTCCGGCGGGGGGCGTGAGGATCCGGCATCGCTCACAACCATCGGGACAACCATCGGGACGACCATCGGAACAACCATCGGGACAACCATCGGGACAATCATCGGGACAGTCATCGGGGCAACGATCGGGACAAGCACAACCATCAGGACAACCATCGGGACAATCATCGGGACAACGATCGGGACAACCACAACCATCAGGACAACCATCGGGACAACCATCGAGACAACTATCGGGACAACCATATCCTCTCTCTCTTGTGTATTCCCACATCCCTCAGGAATTTGCCCTAAAGATGTGATCAACTATCTTGTGAGTACGTATCATGTGTATCATGTGTATCATGTACCATATGCATCATATGCAACAGTTGTTCTGTGGAAGGCTTAACAACTTCTGTGGGTTAACAAGGCTTATCAACTTCTGTGGGTGTACGAACGTAGGCTTAACAACTTCTGTGGGTGTGTACTCCACGCCAGTGTAGTAGCCACGGTCGTCCGCAGGCCACGAAGTGAAGTGTCCGAACGTCATAGGGCGGGAAGCTGGGTGTGGGTGGTGGCGAAGAGTCGTGTGGAGATTTGGTAGAGCTTGCACTGCCCCCCCACAAAGTGGGGGTATTGGCTGGCGTCGCATGAAAACCCTGGCACTGGTGAGAACACTGAGCGTTCGGGTAAAGTGATTGTTGTTGTTGTTGTTGTTGTTGTTGTTGTTGTTGTTGTTGTTGTTGTTGTTGTGGTTGTTGTTGTTGTTGAATCACGAGTGAATAATAATCATTGTTGATCCCCCCTCTGGAGCACATCGTGTTTTTCCTATTGAAGTACCTTTCCTGGGGCTCGCGTTCAGATTTTTTCGTGGAAAGTCTAGGTCTCAGAATTGTGTTTTTTGCTTCCAGTTTGCAGCAACAGCGGCTCCCCCTGATACTTCCTCACAGTTGATTCCCAAATCTTGCTTTCGCGCGGGATGTCTTCACAATTTATGCATAAATCGCACTCTTGCGTGGTGCGTCCTCGCCATCTAGTCAGACGCCGCGCCCTCGACACTCAGGAATCGCGCTTTCGCTGTGGATTTCTGGATGATTTATTTGGGACTCGCCCCCGATAACGCAAAAAACTTGTCAGAAGGTGCGAGGGCTTCCGAGAAGTCCTGTTCTGAGGAGGTCTCCTCCCTGTCACTTCCCCCCTCGCTCCCCGCAGAGATATTCATCCAGGGGTCGCCGCAACTCCTTCGCTCAAGTTGTTCTGGCACCAGCACCAGCCTGGCACCAGCACCACTCGTTGAGACCAGAGCCCGCACCCGTGACCGCCTTCTTGTCAGCACTCGTGCCATGGCGACCGCCAGCGGTGCGGAGATGAAGGAACGCATCGGCTCGGAAGGAGCGGCGCTCTTCAGGGACGCGAGGTCCGAGGGGAAGGTGGTCCTCGTCGCAAAGTCTGGGTGCACGTTCTGCGCCCGCGCCCGGACCATCCTGGAGGGCTTGGTGAGGCCGGAGCGCCTCGCGATCCTGGACGTGGAAAAGCTCAAGGACGGGCCGACGGTTCGCGAGCTGGCCAGGGCGGCGGCTGGCGGCCACAAAACGGTGCCGATGGTCTTCCACGGCGACAAGTTCCTCGGCGGCTGCGACCAGCTCGTCGCGATGGAGGGCCGCGGCGAGCTGCGCGCGGACCTTGGCGGCGACCTCGCCTTGGCGGCCGAGGGGGAGAAGCCCCGCGCACGCATGCTTTGTTATGCCGTTTTTTTTTTTGCCGCCCCCTGTGAGCTTCTTTTTTTTTTTTTTTGCTGTCTTTTTATATTGTTTCTTCTTTTTTTTTTTTTTTTTTTTTTTTTTTTTTTTATTTTTTTTTTTTTTTGTCATTTTTTTTTTTTTTTTTTTTTTTTTTTTTTTTTTTATTTTTTTTTTTTATTTTTAGTTATTTGCTTTTTGTTCTTTCTTTTTTTTTTTTTTTTTTTTTTTTTTTTTTGTTTTTTTTTTTTTTTTTCCCGCGCTTCTTCTTCCCTCCGGCGTCAATGGCGTCGCGGCTCGCTTCGCTGGCTTCCAGGCCGTCTGCTGCTGTGTGCTGGCGGTTGATCTGGTGACACTGGTGGTGGACCGGCTGGCTGATGCTCGGCGTCGGCCTCGACGTCTTCATCCTCTCGTCGCTGGCGGGCACCGCCTCGCCCGTGGGTGCCGGTCTCCGCATCCTCTCGCTTGCCGTTCAGGGAGCGGCTGGTTGCGGGCCCGCAGAAGCAGTTCGCCGCGCTGCTGGGCTGCTGCTTCGCCAGCACCACTGGCGCCCTGCTGCTCGCGCGCCAGGACATCGCTGGCGCCGTGGTGGCGGCCATGCTGCTCGGCGCGGCCGGCCTCGAGGCGTTCCTGGACTTCTGCGCCGGCTGCTTCATGTTCACATACATGATCAAGTTCGGTTTCGTCACGTCGAAGGTGAACGACATGGCCATCAGCCAGAAGTCCTTGATGCAGGCGCAGATGGACCACCAGGACGACTTCTCCGGCGAGCTGCGTCCGCTCGAGGAGTACGTTCACCGCCAGCCCGGCCAGCCTGAGACGCCGGCGGACCTCCGCGTGAAGTTCCGCAAGACGGACGAGCACAAGCGACGCGGCTTCCACCCCGTCAAGCACGTGGCGATCGGGGACTTCATGATGCCGCTCGGCATCGCTGCGCTGGCGATGGCCTGGAAGCTCGGCAACTACACGCCGGCGCTCGAGACTGGCCGCATGTGCGGCGACACCACGTGGCGCGTGCTGATGTGGATCTCCGTTGGTCTGTCCGGAGCCCTGCTGGCCCTGCTGTTCGCGAAGCTCCTGATCTTCCCGCGCAAGCTCCTCAAGGAGGTGTCGCACCCGATGAAGTCGGGCAATTGCGCGACGCTGCCCACGTGCCTGGTGATTTATGCTTTCCTGCTGTGGGACAGCGACGACTACGACACCCCCGACTACGACACCAGAAAGGCGAGCGGTCTTTTTACCCTCCCCAGCGTGACGCTCGTTGCCCGGGCCAGCCACTCCCCCGTGTGACGCTAACTATCGTACTGGGCGGGGTGGCCTGGACCCGCCCCCCTGCATACTAGGGGGCGGGCCCCCCGCAGGTATGGCGCTGTGCTCGCAGGCCTGGCGTGGTGCTAAAAGGCACGCTTTGGTGCTCACACATGTGTTGTGGCGCCCGCAGGCTCTCCGCCTGTTGCGGCGCCGAGCTCGTGGGCGCAACCTGTGCGGCGTTATCAATGTTGGTAACGGTGCAAGCATTGCGCGGGGAGCATGGGCGCCTCAATGCAAGCGTTGTTCTGGGAATCCGACGGCGCTGGAGCTTTCGACCCCGTCGTGAGGCTCCTGCTGCTCCTCTGGTTACTGCTCCTCTTTCTTCTCCTCCCGCTCCGTATTCCCCCCTCAACGAAGGCCGCCAAGACCGTTGAAAGAGCAGAGGAAGAGGGGAGGAAGAGGAGAGGAAGAGGAGGAGGAGGAGGCGTAGAAGGAGGAGGAGGAGGGGGAGGAGGAGGAGGTGGAGGAAGAGGACATGAATGACGAGTCCTGCAGGCCTCTGGGATCAGTGGGGAACCCCGCAAAGAAGCCTTGCAATCTATTAATGTGCTCGCTGGCACGTTTGGCGTTCTGGTGTGCACACGCATTGTGGTGCACGGAAGCATTGTGGCGTGCACAGGCGTTGCGGTGCACATGGTTGCTGTGGTGTACACAGGCGCTGTGGTGCGCACAAGCGCTCTGGTGCACGCAGGCAATGTGGTGTACACAGGCGCTGTCGCGCACGCGGCTGCTGCAGTTTTGCGCAGGCACTGCGATGTACATAGGCGACGTGGTGCTGCGGTGCACGCGGCTGAGTGTGGTGTACGGAGGCATTGTGGTGTACACAGGCGGCGTTGTGTGGCACGCAGGCATTCGGCCTTGTCGTGTGCACAAGGACTCGCGCGCACAGGCGATTGATGCGCCGGTGGCGCGGACGCACCCTGGCGGGTGCACGCCGCGGCCGCCGTTACCGTTGACCTCCCGCCCGCCCCCCCCGGGTAACGATAATTACACGGGAAGGGGAACAAAAGCGCTCACAAGGAGGTGAAGCAGCTGTGCGTCGTTCTGTTCTGGATCGGCGCCGCCCTGCTGAAGGCGCTCATGGTCTACAGGCTCGCCTGGGTCGTCGGCAACCGCGCCAACCAGGACCACAAGCAGGCGCAGATACTGCTCCCCATCATCGGATGCATGGTCGCTGCCATGGTGGCTCCGATCTTTGACGGCTTCGACGACGTGTGGGGCTACACCGAGTTCGGCTGGTTCTTTTTCGGCCTGGCTGCGGTGCTGAGCGTCGTGCTGATGGGCGGAACGCTCCTCGAGGCCGTCAGTTTCCACTGGAGCGACGAGCGCACGCGCGTGTCCATGGGCATGTGGGTGGTGGCTCTTCAGCTGCCCTTCCTGGCGCACCTCATGCTGCGCGTGGGCCCGGCTGCCTTCTACACCGCTGGCAGCTCTGGGAAGGGGCCGTCGAAGGTGAGCTACTTTGACGCAGTGGAGCATACCCTTTTCTTCGCAGGCTGCTCCACATTCCTGGTCCTCTTCTGGCTGGCCGTCCCCATGGGGTTCCTGATCAAGCTCAGGTTCGACTTCTCGTTCTGGGCCCTGGCCTTCCCGCTGGACGTGCTGGCCATGTCATGCATGGTTTACGCGAAGAGCGTGAAGGGCACGCTGATGGCCGCCAACTTCTCCAGCGGCCTCGCCTACGCCACGCTGGCCATCGCCTCCTACGGCAACGCGGTGCTCTTCCTGAACACTGCCTTCTGGCTGCTCAAGCGCCGCTGGCTGCGCCCAGAGACCAAGTGGGCCCCCCTGTCCCTGAACAAGCTCACGCACGAGGCCTTCCGCGTCGCGGGCGCGAAGCTGGCGGCGCAGGCGTCGGCGCTCGGCGACGACATGAAGAGGGGCGGCCAGCCTCGCCCTCTGGGCCTGGCCCGCAAGCTCGCCGACGAGTGGGAGCGTACGGCGTGAAGGCTGATGGAGTGGCACGCTCTGCATAGACCAGATCAGTTCCGAGATAACAGGACGCGTTCAACCGATGGCCACCAGGACGGCTACCCTGTGCTGCAGCACGGAGCAGCTGGAGCACATGGAGCACCAAGTGAACGACGCCATGGACACGGATCAAGCAGGCCACCGATGGAGCCCGCAGGCCCACGTCGCGGCCAGATCATGGTCGACGAGCTGGCGAAGTACGTCGTTCATGGAGAAGCACATGAGCTGCGGAGGAGGAAAAAACCGCTGGCGCCTTGAACCGCCGCACCTTCACATGGACATACCAGATCCGCATCGTGCGCAAGATCTGGGACGCGTACGAGCGATGTTCCGTGAGAGGAGTTCCGGGCCACGGTGCAGGGTCTCGAGCGCCCTTCCTCCGGGGGCGACCCGAAGAGTTGGAGCAGCTACGACCTGGGCCCAGTTCACGAAGACCGGCCGCTACGGCTATCCTTCGAAGGAGGGCGACCTCGAGAGCGCCATGGCCTTTCCCGACCCACGATGCCGAGGGCAAGATGCCTCTCTCAAAGCAGCAGGTGTGGCGCGTCGTGCTGCCGTACGTGGTCCGCAACCTCCCCGAGCCCATGATGCGCACGCGCTTCGTGAGGTGCTGGGCGTGGGCATTGCCCGAGCGCGCGCAGCACGTGGGCGAGATGATCTACCGCGGCCTCGAGGATGCCGACTGGACCGCCATCGCCAAGGACGTGCCAGAGGTCATCCCCCGAGGTCTGCCTGGCTGGGTGCGCCGCGTGTGAGATGACAGAAGACAATGGTGCGCATGATTGCACCGCTGTCTCGTGCAGAATGACTGCGTCAGCTTGTCCCACAATAGGCCAATCGTCATGCAGAATGATTGCGCCAGTTCGCTCCGCAAGAGACGGGGCACCATTGCAGGTCCCTTTCTGGCCTGGACCAGTGCAGCGACGCAATGTTGCGAGACTTGCTTCTCTTTTGCCTCGTTCCCGATGCATGCAAGCTCGACGTCTTTAGGGTCTACGCATCCTGAAATTCGCAACCAGCTGTGCTGGCAAACTCGACGTCGTCGGGGTCTTACGCATCCCGAGACTCGCATGTTACTGTGCTGTGTTGCGTGGTTCTGGTTGGTGCATGCCGGATACGACGCTTCGGTCGATTGCGGAATAAAGGAGAGAGGCATCCGTTGACCTCCCTTGAGATATCTTGGCGTCCGTTTATTTTCGGGATGGGCGTTTCCGCCCGGTTTCGATCCCGGGGGCCCTCGCAGATCGAGGGTGCCAGTCGTGATTTTTGTCGATGTTGTATTTGTTTCGCCTCGTTGGATCTCACGGTCTGGAGGGTTCGTGACTGGAGCTGGCTGAGGGGCTAAGGTGGCTCAGCATTGACTCCGGCCAGAAAGGGGGGAAAAAGAGCCCCGCCGTCGCCGCAGTTGGACGCGGCTCGAAAATGGTGATGCAACGCCTGGGTGGTTCAATTCAGCATCGGCGCTGGTGTATCCGTGGGCAACAGCTGGCCTACTTCGGCTTCCTTCCGCTTAGTCCCTCTTGACCTCGCAGACAACCGCTCAATCCATCTTGATCCTGGGCTTACTTGGCTTCATCCGGCTAATCGGGATCAATAGCATTTAGTCGCTCTTGCGAAGGTCTTCCAGGAGTTGTTTCCTAGACAGCAGAGCTTCAAAAAGGACAACCCGCAACTCTTGTCGAGTGCCCTGAATTTTATGGCGCTCTCCAGCCCGTCTCTTCGACAGTACTCGTGTCACTGTCTTGCCCCCTTCTGGGGCTCGTGAGGACTCGAGTGAAGGTGGCAGCGGCGTGCGCGCGCAGCAGGTGCACGAGTGGCAACACTCTGTCTGCGCTGGTACGGCACACAGCACATGCAAGCGGCGACCGCTCCACAGCATCCCTGCCCTGAATGTCACCGCCCACCAAACCACCCCAACCCGACCCGGAGGTCCAAACTTATCCTCGATTTCCAGCGGGGGGGGTCGGGGAACATTGAAACAACACACGGAACCCGTACCCCCCCCAACCCGAAACTCGGGTCAAATTCGGGTCTTCGGGTTGGGTTGGGTGGTCTGGTAGGTCGTCTGAATGAACTCTGCGTCCGCCGAGCCGCCGGATGGAGACGGCAGCGATGGGGCAGAGCAACCGCGCCCCCTTCCCTGGACAGTTTTCTGTCCTCGGATGCGCCTGCGGCAAGCCGCCGCCGCCCCCTCTGCCTTGAAGGATACGCCCGTGTGGCTAGACGTTCGGGCAGAGTTTTGCCGCGCTGTTGGGCCATGCGTTCCCCCAGCCGTGGCGGAAGCCCTTCGGCGAACACGCGGGGGGGAAGAGGAGGATGAGGAGAGGGAGGAGCAAAAAAGGATGAGGGGAAAGATGAGGAGACCCCTTGGGAGCTTCTTGAGTCATTCTTGGGGCCGCCTGGGAGCTTCCTGGGGGGCCTCTTGAAGATCTCTTTGGCCTCCTTGGGCCTCTTCGGGGCCTTCGGGGGCTCCTCGGAGGTCTCTTTGGCCGCCTTTCGGCGTTCCTGGCCCCT